AACAGGAGAAAAACCATATAAATGCATGGAGTGTGGGAAAACCTTTACTCGTAGCAATGGACTTAGAAATCATAAAACGATCCACACAGGAGAAAAACCATATAAATGCATGGTGTGTGGAAAGACCTTTGCTCTGAGCAATAGACTTACTATGCACAAAAAGATCCACACAGGGGAAAAGCCATTTAAATGCATGGAGTGTGGAAAGACCTTTGTTCAAAAAAGTACTCTTTTTACCCATAAAATGATCCACTCAGAAGAGAAACCATTCAAATGCATGGAATGTGGAAAGACCTTTACCCGAAAATGTAGTCTTATTGCCCATAAAATGATCCACTCAGAAGAGAAACCATTTAAATGCATGGAGTGTGGAAAGACGTTTACTGCGAGGAATGCTCTTACTTCTCATAACAGAATCCATACAGGAGAGAAGCCATATAAATGCACGGAGTGTGGAAAGACCTTTGCTCAGAATGCTCAGCTTACTTACCATAAAAGGATCCACACTTGGGAAAAAGAATATAGCAATAGCAATTCCACTTCAGATTTATCTACCACTCCACAAAGTTTTATAGCAGTCTTTGAGCAATTTACAAAGTCAGCATATTGTCCCCAGAAATCTGGGTCATCGTTTTACTGACCTGGCAAAGATTAAAGGCTGAATCAACCATGAACCGGTCAGGACCAAACTCCTGGCTCCTGGACAATCAGATCGGACTGCATTCTAACCTCTTACCTAATCATGTCTATAGCTTTTTATGTGTATGCACATTGTGCCTTTCTGATCCACATGAGACAAGGTGGAATCCAACAAAATGAAATTTAATGTGTAGAAAAGTACGGTTTTACATTTGGGCAGGAAAAACACATTACCTGAAACATGACTCAAAAAAAGTAACCGTGAGAGGGACTTTGGCAGTCCAAACGGATGATCACTTAGAAATGAGTCACCTGTGTGTGCACAGCAGCCAAAAAAGCTAAGACATATAAACAGACGCATAGAATCAAAATCACATGCACTATTAGTACCATTTTATAAAGCCTTAGTAAGACCACACTTGGAATACTGCATACAGTTTTCAACATTACATTACAAAAAAGATGTTTAGTCTTTGGAAAAAGTGCAAAGAAGGATAGCTAAGAAGATTAAAGGCCTGAAGACTAAGACATATGTAATACTGTTGCAGGATTTGGGTTTGACTGATCTAGAGAAAAGAAGAATTGGGAGTGACATGATAGCCGTATTCCAGTACTTGAGAGGCTGCCATAAAGAGGAGGAGGTTAATTTATTTTCCAAAGCATCAGATGGCAGGACAAGAAATAATGGATGTGAAACTCATCAAGAAGAGAAGCAACCTGGAATTAACAAGTGTCTTTCTTACAGTGAGGACCATTAACCAGTGGAACAACTTGCCTTCAGATGTCACTGGACGCTTTTAAGAAGAGACTCCATAGTGAGACTTGTCTGAAATGGTATAGGATCTCCTACTTGAGTAGGGGCAGGGCTAGAAGAGCTCCAAGTTCCCTTGCGGCTGGATTCCGATTCTGAATCCTCAATCCTTAGTTTTGTATTTTTGCTAAGTAGGAGGTTTTAAAGGAAACATGAGCATCACTGGAGATTAAGGTTATCATTTGGCCTGAAAGTGATATGCGGATGCCCATATTTAAGTGGTGCAGATTCCCTAATCATTTTAAGAAACTCCCTCTGATGAGTATATCCATTACAGCAGAGTTGCAGTCAGAAATGCATTAGTCCTGAATCCCTTACTATTATTTCAGTGTTTGATACTTTGCTTAATGTTGTCGAAATCTGCCTTTCCACCCTGATTCACATTATATAATGAAGTAATAACTGAGAAACAAAACCAGGAGAACAGGGTTATAGTGATGCTGAATTAGAAAATACAACTCATGGGCTTTCCTTACTCTCCCTCGTGTTGCCCATGTCTGGACCCACACAATCTTGTGACTATCTTTTTTTAAGTGAGGTCTCCAGAACTGGACACAGTATTCCAAATGGGATCTGACCAAAGCCTTATGTAATGGGCTAGGACCTTCTCTCTTTTTTTAAAAAAAAATTACAATTTTATTTGAAAATCCCAGTCTGGTTATCAACTATCAAACTTTTTCTTATCCTATAATATATAAGAAGGAACAAACAGTTAGATATGGGGAAATATTGGATGAAAAGAGTGAACTTAAAACGATGCAAAAACTAGGAGAACAAGGCATAAGGATGAATCGGTTCTCCTATGCGCAAATACACTCAAGGTATCTTACAGATTCTAAAATGGAGGGATTTTATGAAAAATTGACTGATTTAGATAGGATTTTGACAGGTACTGATGAAAAAGTGATAAAAAAATTATATAGTTATTTGTTGGAAATTATATTAGAGGAGGAACAAGTTAAACGATTGTTCGGGGGAAGAATTTTGGATATGGGATTGATTTAGAGAAATGGGAAAAATTGTGGTCTTAAAATTATAAAATGACAATGTCAACAGCATATAAAGAAAACTTGCATAAGATGTTTTAAAGGTGGCATTTTCCCCCGACAAGGACCTTCTCTTTTGTTGATGGTGATACATCTGGTGAGGCACCCCAGAATTTTGTTTGCCTTCACAGCTGCCTGGCCACACTGTTTACTCATTTTGCAGTTTTCATTTTTTCAGTGCCATGGTAACTTTGTTCACACAGTTATGTGGAAAAAGTAGTACTTGAAATAAAAATAGTTCTAGCATTCTGGAAATATGCATAACTTGTGTCTGTTCCAAGCGTTGTCTACACATAGAGCATTAAAGCAAGTAGCCTTATTAAGAGAAAGCAGTGTGGTAGGGATATAAAGTTCCCCTAGCTAGCCAGCCTACTGGCCAACCAAGGTAGTCCTTGATTTACAATAATTTATCAAGTAACCATTCTAAGTTACAATGGCACTAAATTAATGGTGGCTGTGACCTCTCCTTTGCTCTCTTCGGTCCTTCCCTCTCTCCCTCCCTTGTCCCAAATTAGGGATATTCCAGAGCAGGGGTCGCCAACCTTTTGGACCTCAGGGACCACCAAACTCATAATTTTAGATCCCAGGGACCACTAACTGGTTCTGTGGACGTGGCCTAATTTGTGGGTGTGGCTTGGTGGTCATGTGATTGGCTGGGCATGGCTTGTCTGTAAATATAAATATTTATATAAATATTGGATTTTTTATTAAAAAGAGCAACTTTTTCCTAAAATCAGGCAAAGCAGGCAGGCAGATCGAGTTGCTCACAGAATCACAGATTCATTCAGAGATCTATTATCTGCCACTGGCTAGCTCAGTCTGTCACATAAATTTGCTAGCAAGCAAACTCACAACACACCATGCATGTAAATATTGAAATTTTTTATAAAAAAACAGAGCAACTTTTACCCAAAATCAGGCAAAGCAGGCAGATTGAGTTGTTCACAGAATCATTCAGTAATCTACCTATCTGCCATCGGCTAGCTCAGTCTCTCAAATTTGCTTGCTGAGTCTGCACTGAATTTGCTTGCAAGCAAACCTTCAGTCCTAAGGGAGGTTCGGCTGTGCTGAGCCGAAGATCTAAAGACTAGCTAGAAAGCAAAAAAACCAACCATTTCCTGCTTCCTAGCTAATCTAAATCTCCCAGCACAGCAGAACAGATGATGGTCGGAAAAAGGAAAAATAGCAATTTAACAGACAAGTTTACAGAGTAAGAAGTGAGAGAGCAGGGAGGGTTCCCGCAGGCCATGTGGGCAGTGCAACCTTGTGTTTCTGCGCAGCCTGGACTAATTGGTTTGTGGGGGTGCTTGGGGTAAGATTTCTCTGCGGCCCACCAAAATTTTCTCACAGCTCACCAGTGGGCTGCGGCCCACCGGTTGGCGACCGCTGTTCCAGAGCATCTTGGTAAGCTAGAAAAATTGGGATAAATAGTATCACCCTCAGATTAATTTGTAAATGACTGGCAAACCATGCTCAATGAGTAATCCTTAATGGTATTAATGTCAAGCCCAAAATTGACATTTGTGTAGTAGTGGTGGGATTCAAAGTTTTTTACTACCGGTTCTGTGGGCGTGGCTTGGTAGGTATGGCAGGGGAAGGATACTGTAAAATCTCCAGTCAGAGGTGGTATTTACTGGTTCCCTGAACTACTCAAAATTTTTACTACCGTTCTACAGAAGTGGTCAGAACCTGATGAATACCACCTCTGATGTGGAGCCATTTTAGTTAGTATATATTCTTTTTTTTTACTTTCTCTTTGGTGGCTTTGGGGGAGGGGTTTCAGGCTTGCCACATTCCTAAGGAGGGAGGAGTGGAGATAGAGTTGTTTAGACTAGGTAATTCTTCTTCCTGTAGGAACACGAGCTGACCATGCTGAGGCCCCTCGAGGTAGAGATTTATGACATCAAGCAATGTTGAATTACCTCTATTGGAAAATGTGACTTTTGGGGGGTGTTTCTAACTTATTGTGGGGTAATTCCGGGTTGGGTCAGATCTGGAATTACCACAGACTTTGCCAATTTGATGCTTTCCTAAATAAAAGAAATTTTTTGGGAAGATGGATTTTGCTCTTTTCTTTTTAAATGGATTTCATCACTTGGAAACCTGACATTTACTTCTACATGAAGGGAAGTAAGCAGTATGGTACCACAAAGTTCCGTCTCAGTCCCAGTATTCTTCAGTGTCTTTATAATGACAGTTGATACAAAGCTAGCAGGAATAGCCAACACCCTATATCGGGTATCAAACATGTCCCGTCGTCATGTGGCGTATAGCAACTTTTTCCCCCTTTGCTAAAATGGGGGTTGGTGTAGCCAGTACGCAACACGTCCAGCCTGCAGGCCGGGAGTTTCACATCCCTGCCCTAGATGATGGGCTCAAGATCCACTTACTTTATACTCTTTCTTCACAATCTTCTTTTCTTAATTTTGTAATTCCACTTTTTCTCCAGTCAGAGATGAAGCACTATTTTTCCCTCTTCATTTCTTAATTAAGTAGCTTCCTTACCAGGTAAAATTTCTAGAATATCCAGCAGTTTCAACTTTTCCTCCATTTTGGGACTGGTTTTCTTTTCGTTCAGGGTCGCCATGTCGGACACGCAGACATTCAGAGGGGCCTTTCACCTACTCCCATGCCCATCAGCCCTGCCCACCCTTTTCCTCTCAGACGCACTCCTCTTTCCCGCCTTTTCTAGAATCCTGACACCTTATCCCAAATCCACCAGGGGGAGCCCTCCGCCACGGGAAGGGAACTCCCGGCGCTTCCCCATTGGCTCAATGAAAGGCAAAAGTCACAGCTGGTTTTGTAGGAGAGGCTGGGAAGGAACAAAGGCTCGCCGTTCTAGGATGCCGCACTCGCTCGCCTTAACCCCTGGGGCTCCACAGAACTCGGAGAGTTGCCGCGGGAGTCTTGCTGGGGGAGATACGCACTTGCTCCGGGTGAGGGGAGGCTCTTCCCTTACAAAGGGAGACGGAGGAGGGAGACAGCCGCGCCCGGCCCTCCTGCGGGTTCAACCCCGGGTCCCAGGCTCCCCAGCCGACCTCTCCCTAGGAAGAGCCTGAGTGGGGAAAGAGGAGGGTCGGCCTTGCGGAAGCCCAGCAGGAGAGGAGAGAAGCCGGGCGAGGAGAGGGAGGATTCGCACCCGGC